ATAAAAATTATATTTATCTTCATTTTAACCATTTTCAAACTTTTTTTGTTTTTGAGACAGGGTCTCACTGTGCAGTTCAGGCTGGGCTTGAGCTCACTTTGTAGCCCAGGCTGGTCTCAAACTTGGGATGATCCTCCTGCCTCAGCCTCCTGAGTGCTGAGATTACTGGTGTGTGCCACCATGTCTGGCTAAATTTATTTTGGTAGATCCAAATGTATTTCTGGTATGCTATTTCTCCTGTCTGTAGAAAGTCCTTTAATATTTCTTGTAGTACAGCTTAGCTACTAATGAATTCTACCAACTTTTATTTGAAAATGTCTTTTATTTTGGCTAATTCTGAATAATTATCCATAGGGCTTAGTATTTTTGGCAGTAGTTCTGTTTTGTTTTGTTTTGTTTTGTTTTTTCTCAAAATATTAAAGATATCACTGCACTGTTTTCTTTTTGCATCGTTTCTGATAAGAAGTCTGTTGTTTTTCTCATCTCTGCTGCCACTAATTCTTTTAGCATTGTCCATTGTTAGCTGTTTGGCAATGTGTCTAGGATTTCATATTTTTGTTTTAAACCTTGCTTTGGTAGTTTGAGTTTCTTCGATCAAGGTTAGGTCTCATTGTTTTTGAAAAACTGTCAGCCAGTATCTCTTCAATATTTTCCCCTCTTTCTTCTCTCCATTCTTGATTTCCAGCTATACAAATATTAGATCTCACAGCATTAGCCAGTTCCTGGGTGTTTTATAATAGTCTTCATATTTCTTTTGTGTTTCAGTTTTGGTGATTTCCATGGACCTACTATATTCAAGCTCTCTGACAGTTTTCTCACTTACGTTGAGCCTAATGCATAAGTCTTTGAAAAGCATTCCTTACAACAACATCTTTTAGCATTCCCTATTTGACTCCATGAATTTCCACTGAACCCCCACCTCCCCCTGCTCATATGTATGGTCTGTCCTTTTCGCTAGAGCCTTGAGCCCACCACTTATGTGAAATTCCCTATGAGGTCTGAAATACGGTCATCTCTAAGTGTGATTTTAAAGAGTGTGCTTTCTCTTAGCAGAGCATTATTCTTTTTTTAAAATCAAAAGCTGGATCATATACATAGAACAATAGACACTGAAGCAAACAGTATTTTTGCCTGAAAACTGGCATACCTGTTTTGCTGGAATACTAGGCTGGGATGTTGAATTGATATGGCCAGGATTTGGGTACCGAGTTTGTTTTTTGCAGTAGTTACTTTAAGTGTACTACCGACTTCAAATTTCTCTTGTATGACCTTTTGCTTAGGGTGGGAGTTTGGGTGCTGAAGGATTTTTTCCTAGTGTTCCTGCTGCACCTTCAGCTTTTCGCCGTCTCTGTTCACTTGTGTTGCTGAAGAGTTCTCTGTCCATGTTCTCCCCATTTCAGTGAGGCCTGCTGTTGCTTGTCACCAGGAGCAGTCTGACTGTAGGGTGTATCCTCTGGCTGAGTGTCAGAGATTCTGTACAGTTTTGGGAGCAGAAATACATTTTACTAAATGAGACAGAAACGCTCTTTTCTTGGCTGTGAACCAAAAAAAATCAAGTAGGCCTACCATCTTGTAAGCCAGCTGAAGGTAAGAGTTCATACAGAGACAGAGGTGAGATAATTTTAGAAAGCAATATAAACCAGGAGAGGCAGAACACACCCATAATCCCAGCACTCTGGGAGGCTAAGGCAAAACAATGACAAGTTTGAGCCCAGCCCGGGCAATTTAGCAATTTAGCGAGATTGTCTCTGAAAAAAGGCTGGGGGTGTAGCTCAGTGTGCGTGCCCTAGTTCAATCCGCAGTACTGTGGAGCGGGGTGGGGGAGGCATTGTAAGGGCCCCCTGCTAACCCAGGCTCAAATCTTACCCTATCTGTGTCTTTCATTTATGTGGACAAAGAAATAGTTTTGGTTTAAACAACTCTGATTATTCTGTTACAGAGGAGTAGCATCTTAACAGATAAAACCACCATGGACGCTCATTATTTTCCCTTGGAAGTGATGACAGCAAAGAAATGATCATTTCTGATGACACTGTGCTTCGTAAACCAACACCTTCGAGGCCAGGTCAAGCCAGTGCCTTGGTCACCCTATTCATCCATTTGACGAAACCACTGCTGCAGCTAATGCTGGTGAATTATACTAGGACATCCCAGGCTACTGGCTCTGAGGCTATACTGAAACCCCAAGAAATTTCACAGAAAGATAGAGGTGCTGACACCTAATTCATCTATATTCTAAAACACCCCAGAAATTTTGAAAATTTACCTCAAGTTTTACTTTTTAATTTAGGCCAGGATGCCATGTATGAAATAGATCCATATTATGGGCTCTTAAGGGATTAATACCTCAGTGGTCATTTATTGCTTGGGTAAAACTGGTAAATGTTCATTGTAATTTTTAAAATGAACTACAGAAAGAAAAAAACTAGCCAAAACTTTTGCTTGCCAGAGAAAACTTCTGTATACATAATGATGAGTATATATTTGAATGTATTTCTATACAAATTTAAATTAACTGGATATTTTGGAGGTATAATTTGCATTTTCACTAAAGATTGTATATGATCCTGTACTGTCATTTTAGATCTATTCCATATTTTCTATAGTTCCATAGTATACAAATTTATCCAAATATCTGGTAACATTTATTTCTAGTTTAAAAACTAGTAGTATGTAAGCCTTTTTCATTGTTAAAACTGCTTAATCATAATTATACTGACTTCGAGGTAGGTATGCCCATTTTACTTTTGATATAGTCATATACCATGTAACATTTCTGTCAGTAATTGCACATATAATGATAGTCCCACAAGACTTCATGATTTGGCGATGTTATAGCCTTCTGCTAGGTACACTCTATGATGTTCACACAACAATAACATTTCTCAGAATGTGTTCCTGTTGGTAGGTGACATTTTTATATATATGGAATTTTGTATTGATTGTACAAGCTTGTCTTTTTTTCAATCCCACCAACAAAATACATGTTCTTGAAGATAGAGACCAGTAGGTAAAATGGTAATACTATTCTAATAAGCAAAACATGTCTCAAAATTTTTTAATTCAAGATTTTTCCCTTTATGTGAATGGGAAAACTTGGAGATAGAAAACTTAGTCCTTTAAATTTGTCATAAACCCTGCCTAAGAAGGTTTGGACTGGACAAAGCCTACACTTAGAAATCAGTCAGATAAATATGAAGTTTAATGGAAATACAGACAGTAAAACACCAAGCATTATAACTTTGACATTTATTTAAAACTATTTGTCATTAGTAACACTTCTGATATTTTCCAAATGTTACAGTAAAACTCTGCCTTAATACAGAGGGCCGAAGTAAAAATGTAATGTAAAATGCAGCATTCCATTTTTTGCAAAGTTACCCGGAAACACTGTTAATCAGTTTGTATTGTCATTTAAAGTGCATACATGTACACACACACACACACACACACACACACACACACACACAGAGGTAAACCTTAATCGACTGTGTACTGTATAGAAAGAGACCACATATTAACAAAATGCAGCTCAACCTTCCTTAAAATGGAACAGCCCAGTGTGGTGGCGCACCCCTGTAATCCCAGCACTGTGGAGGCTGAGGCAGGAGGATCATTGCAAGTTCGAGACCAGCCTGAGCTACAAAGTGAGCTCAAGGCCAGCCTGAACTGCACAGCGAGACCCTGTCTCAAGAAGACAAAAAACAAAACAAAAGATGGGACAAATGACGAGAACCAATCCCATCAGGTTACAACGAAATTCATGTTACTTCGGATTGCAATATTGCTTGATGCTCCACATTTCAAATAATATTTACTTGAAGTAATATCGAGAGCATTTGCTTAATTCCTCCTCCAAATCCATTCTTAAGTGTGAGCTTTTTGAAATTAGCTGAATAAAAATTTCAAATATTATGCCTTTACATACTTTAGTCATTTAGGAAGAAGTACGGACTACCTATTGTGAGTTGCAAAATGTCGTGGTTTTGTAGACTTCACAGTGAGCAATATCCCTTCTCATCAAGCTTACATTCCACTGGACACAAGAGTGAGGCATGTTCATCACTGTAGTTTTGTTAAATTCCTGACTGTACTCATATTTAGAAGCCCTAGCTCCTGTGCAGAAACTTACTAAAATTTTGATAAAATCTGTTACAGAACTCCTCTCATTAAAGGTCTCTGCTGTGTGGCCTCCTAACCATCAGACACTGAAGTTGGAAGAAACACTATCTTCATTTAAAAAAATATTCTTTCTACTAAAAGAACTCTAGCGTGCCCTCTTCAACAGCACATATACGAAAAGTATACTAGTGGCGAGAAATTTTCAGCTCCCTTTTGAGGACTTCAAAACAAACCAGGACATCATCTTACAAGCCTTCATTTCTGTGTAGATCCTCTGAGGAAGAGTAAACCTTTCTATACTCTTCACTTTTATAGAACTTTTCACCATTATGGACTCTTTGGTGAATGAGAAGACCCGAGCTCCAACGGAAACCCTTTCCACACGCATCGCATGTATATGGTTTCTCCCCGGTGTGGACTCTCTGATGAGCCTGCAGGTTTGATCTCTGACTGAAGCCCTTCCCACACACCTCACATTTGTAAGGTTTCTCCCCAGTGTGCACTCTGTGATGGGCCTGAAGACTTGAATACCCACTGAAACCCTTCCCGCACTGTTCACATTTATAGGGTCTCCCTTCTGCATGAATCCTCTGATGTGCTTGAAGGCGGGAACTCTCGCTAAAGCCCTTTGTACACATCTCACATTTGTACGGTTTCCCTCCTGTGTGGACCCTCTGATGCGCCTCAAGCCGTGAACTCTGACTAAAGCCCTTCCCACACATCTCACACTTATATGGCTTCACTCTGGTGTGGACTCTCTGATGACCTTGCAGATATGCTCTCTGACTGAAGCCCTTCCCACATACCTCGCATATGTACGGTCTCTCCCCAGAGTGGACACTCTGGTGACTTTGAAGATAGGATCTCTGACTGAAGCTCTTACCACACTCGCTACAGTGGTATGGCTTCTCGCCTGTGTGAACTCTCTGATGGGCCAGAAGAGTTGAGGCTTTACTGAAGCCTTTACCACATTCCCCACATTTGTACGGTTTTTCTCCTGTGTGAACCCGTTGATGAATTTGCAGATTAAAGCTCCAACTGAAGCCCTTCCCACATTGCTCACATTTGAATGGTTTTTCTCCAGTGTGAACTCTCTGGTGGCCTTGGAGGTGTGAGCTCCGGCTGAAACCTTTACCACACTCCTCACACTTATACGGTTTCTCTCCAGTGTGTATTCGCTGATGGCCTTGAAGGTAGGAATTCCGACTGAAGCCCTTCCCACATTCCTCACATTTGTACGGTTTTTCCCCAGAGTGGACTCTCTGATGCGCTTGAAGGTATGAGCTCCGACTGAATCCCTTATCACACGCCTCACATTTATACGGTTTTTCTCCTGTGTGGACTCTCTGATGAACATTAAGAACCGATCTATGACGGAAGCTTTTGCCACATACATTGCATTTGTATGGCTTCTGTCCAGCATGGGCTTTCTGATGACTTTTAAGTTTCAAACTCCAGTCGAAGCCACTTCCACACTCCTTGTAAGGTTTTTCTCTAATGTGAGTCTTCTGACGGTCTTGAATGCATGAATTTTGACTACTGCTGTAGGCATGTTTATATGGTTGTTCCCTGGGGTGGGCTATCTGAAAGCCCTGAATACGTGAGGCCAGGCTGAAGTCATTACCACACTCCTCAGGATTATAGGAATTCTCCATGTGAACTCTATGCTGACCGTGACGATTTGAATAACAAGTTAAATCTTTTCCATACTCCACAGTGGTGTACAGTTTCTCTTCAGTGTAGATATTCTGATGTTGATGAACCCGAAGATAAAAATTCTTATTAAAAATGTTCCCATTCTCCTCGTATTCATAGGATCCCTCCCTAGTATGGACCCTAAAATTATTACTGAGGTCTAAACTATGACTGAAGGCTTTCTCATAAGCTTTGCACCTCCAGGGTATTTCTCCTGTATAGGTGAGCTCGTAAGAGCTAAGAGAGGAGCGCTGGTTGATATTCTTGCCATATTCACCACATGTACATGATTCCTTCTCTGTACGTGCTCTCTGATGGGACTGCAGATGTAAACTCTCCACAGCACCTTCATCTCTCTGCACACTGGGATGACTGCGAAGAACTGACGTATAATTATAGGCCCTTCCACACGGACTGCGTATACATGGTTTCCCTGCTAGGTCCAGCTGCTGCTGAACATCAGAGCTGTAGTCATCACTGAAGTCTTCTCTATACTCAGTACATGGGCAGGGCTTCTGCTCTGCCTGGACCAAGTTCTGATTAAGAAACGGTACGTCCATGCTATCCTCTCCACAGTCACTGTCATTGTAGTTTTTTTCATTTCTGTGTACTCCCTGATTATCATTGTGACGTGAAATCCAACTGACACTCTCACACGTACAGAAAGTATTTTTCATGGAAATTTGTTGACATTTACACTGAGGATTATGGGCCTCGGTCAGATACATTTTCCTCCAAGGGTGTTGGGCTCTCAAGCATGGAAACTCTTGATTTTTTACATAACTGGAATCATCCACTACATGAATCATTACATAGTTCCCATCTTCCGAAATCTGGATTGGCATTCCTGCCCACGTCTGGCAGGGAGAAGCCCCTTGTCTTTGCAACTGGAAATTCTTTTCCTGAAAGATTTTCATGGAATCTTGACAAGTGGCTAAGCCGATAGCACCTTGCTTCCAGGTCTGATAGGAGGAAAGCTCTCTGGGGGGAAGGTAACTTAATCCCATTTCTTCAATATGCTCCTTATGTTGAATGTTGTGTCCTATAAAGATAAACAGAATTCAGACAAGTGCACAAATAAATGCTTTATTCAGAGATCTCAAAATTTTACACTTTGGTTGTAACATGAAACTTGAATGAATAAAAGAAAATTCATGGCACTAGTTTTAAGAATCCTTAGAAAAATGCCTCCTGTTTGGCTACATAGTGGTGTAAGTAGGATGGAGAAAATTCAGACTATCTGTGTGCATCAAAAGCAGGGTACTGTGACACACCCACTAGATAGCAGATGTGGCGATACATTCAAGAGACCTAGTAAAAGCATAAGCATGTTATTATGGGCTTATTATGGGCTGCCTAAAGATCCAAAGGAGAAGACAGAAGAGAATATTCTCAAACTGGAAAGAACAACAGTGGTTGTAAGTGGACAAATGCTTTTTCCCTGATAATAACTTTTTCTCTTTTCTTTAGCACATGGGCATGATAATGTTTTTGTCTGTAAGCCAATGATGTGTTACATGCTATGCTGAAGAAGGTAAACACAGACCTTTAATCGATGCTCAAGACATCATTGTACCCCGTCTCTAAAGAGCTATTTATCTTCAGGAGAATAAATGCTTCTAAGTCACTGTAAATCACTATCACTTTTAACTCCTTTGAAAAGACATTTTACAATTACCAAGAAGCCTGGTGCAGATCAGAATGTGAAACACTGTTACAGGATTCAACTCAAAAGACTTCATTAAAAAACACCTAGAGGCTGAGGGTGGGCAAGGGTAGCTAAGTTTCCTGACACCTACAAGGTATCCCTCAAAGCAATTCATCAGCCATAAATGTAACTCGGTGAACATCGACTTTGCCTTGCACCATTTTACTGGGAACTTCACACTTTGGGAGTTTCAAGCACCAAAAAAAGACTTGAAGACAGGCATACTTGGGTAGAAATGGCTTGCTGCCTAGTTATTAAAGCTCCAATGGTAGGCTAATGGCAGATCTTCATGTCCTGATGAGAAGTACCCTCTCTGAAGACAACCGGTTAAGTACATTCAGTTTCTGAGGTATCCAGAAAAGAGATAGTAAAAAAGGAAATTTTTCACACCTAGTCCTCAAACACAGCAATTCTTAATTTATCTGTGTGTGGCGGTCTCTCCACAGCCAAAGTGTTATCCCCAGGATAGGCACTACCACATTATACTCACTGCCTGCAACCCTGCCTAGTGAATAGCGCTTGCTCAGTAAACATGGGCTGATGAATAAACAGTCCCAAGTTATCCTCGCTCAGTGGACTAAAAGGGTATGCAAATACAAGTTATCTTTTTGTGGGAAGGGAACTGGCGGTGGTAACTTTGCTGGAGGCTAAAAGGCTGTGTGAGAAGCAAGCCTGCACTCAGGGTCACGCTGCGGGTGAGAAAAGCAAAGCTTACAAGGATTTCCTGTGGATGAAATGAACGCTAGTGACCTAAAAGACCCACAGGCTCGAATTATGGATTGAGTCTCCAATTTTGCTTGGTCCCATCCCACCCCACGGAAGTACAGACTGAACTAGTGCCTTCACACTGAGCTACATCTCTTTATATTTTTTATTTTGAGGCAGGGTCTTGCTAAGTTGCTCAATTACCCAGGCTGGTTTGAACTTGTGATCCTGCTGCCTCAGCCTCCCCAAATGCTGAGATTACAGCCATGTGCCACTGTACCTGGCTATTCTTTAATTTTTAAAGCTATTTTTTATTGGAGACCCTTCCGACGGTGCCAGTTATCGGGGACCCCTGCAGTGAGTCCCCAATCTCCCACCAGGTGTTACAGCGCACAGTGGGAAGAGCAAGAGACAAAATAGGGGTGCAGCAGGGATCTGGGATGACCAGTTGTTCGTGGGGAACAAAAGGCCACGAAGCAGCCAGAACGTTGGTAGTTACTGATTACATCCGGCCAAGGACAACGGCTGAAGAGCAGTGAGTGTTTCGGGAACAGTAATGGTGACTATGGTGGGCTGGCAAGAATAAAGCATTCTCGCAAGGATGAGGCGGGAGGCAGTAAGGAAGCTGTCATTTCCCCAGGGAACTCATCATCTTCAGCAGCTCTCACCTTGCCCTGTGAGTGCCGCAGCAGTCACTAGCCCTAGGGCTCCCAGCTGTCACCAGAAAAGGGCAGGGAGTTTCCGCGGTCAGTCTGGCTTCAAGGGCAGGACAAGGACTGCCTTGGACCTTCCCTAGACTCCATTTATAATTTGTGGTTCCTGACAACTTTTGCCAGTAGCACACGACTGTAATCCCAGCACTCTGGAAAGCTGAGGCAGGAGGATACACAGTGGACAACATAGTGAGACTGGTCTCAAAAAAAAAAATTGTGTATTTTTCCTTGAACATGGTTTTACTTGTAAAACTCACCCTATCCTCAGAGTAAGAAAAACCAGAGAAGAAAGGTCCCCAGGGACAGCTGTGCACCATGGCTCCGGGGAAGGGCACTGACTATGGGAAAACACTGGCCCAAAAGTACTCATTGTGGTATTTTTAAAACCTAGTTTACTGATGCCTCTCCCTTCTCACAAGCAAAGCTTTTAGTTACTGCATTAATATTTTACCACCTAACAATGAACCAAAGGGATACATTACAGGGAGGCATGTCAGATAAACAAGAAGTCTGGGTTTCCAGCTAGTTAGTCGGTGCTTACAGTTTTATTTTAGCGTCATCAAAAATGCCCAATAAGTATCTACAAACACACAATTTAGTATGTCAAGTCTTTCGGACTGACATGAGAGAAGCTTCTCACAAAGCAACTGTTTCAGCCAGCTATGCTGGTGCAGGCCTGTAATCCCAGCACTCTGGGAGGCTGAAGCAGGACAATCCCAAACTTGAGCCCAGCCCCGGCAATTTAGTGACTTAGCAAGACCCTTTCTCAAAATAAAAAAATTAAATCAAGGCTGTGGTTTAGCTCAGTTGGAAAGCCCTGGGTTCAATTCCCAGCACTATATAAAAGAGATTAAAGTTTCTCTCTAACCAGTGGTTTATACAATATTAGAGGGGTAAAGGAAGAAAACAGGGTCTTCACTTCATCTCTGGGAAGATATGCAATTAAAGATGAGAAATTGTTAGGAGCTGCCTCTCAGAAAAATACCTCGCCTGTTTCTCTTTTCACTGTGGGGAGTGACATCCACTTGGACAGAGAAGAAAGGTGCCTGTGACGTTGTTTAAAGAAATACTGGAGAAAGCTGGCCCACTGGGAAGCTCGCGGATTTGTGCTGATAAGCTGAGAAAGGTGACGCTGGGGAGCCTGATACATGAGCGCCTTCTGATGGGTCTCAAGCCTCAGGTCATGACCCTGACATCTGCCTACAAGTTGCTACCCTATCCTGCCTTTCTATGAGCCTGAACAGCACAGGAATATAAACTAGGAGGGAGAATGAGCCCTTCTTTGGAAAGCAGAAAATGGGCCGCTAGAACGTGCCAACAAAAACATGAAAGTATATCCTGGGGACAGAGAGCCCACCTCTCCGAGGTTGGCTTTTGCATTTAAAATTCATGGATTTGGATACTGCCAAAGATAGTACGCATGCTGACTGGGGCAGAAGTGTTGCTTTCTAGTCTCTTCCTATGGAAAAAAAAATCAAAATTGCCAAATACTTTCCTGAAAGTTTAGTGGATTCAGAGCTAGCTGGAACCAGCAAATTAACAAAATGAAACAGGAAAAAACATGACAGTAATACTTAAAAGATGACAATTACTCAAAAAGGTCTGGTTCATAAGGTGGACGGTTTGGGTGCAATGAGAGATGACATTGGAAACAAAGTTAAACAATTTGCTATGGGAAAGGAAGAAAAGTCCAGAAGCCCCTGGTTTGTAGAACAGTGTAGAAACGCCTGTCTGTCCCTGTGGTCCAAAAAGGCATCTTTCCATCCGTGCTAAGAGTTTCAGTTGCAACCAGCAATGGTGGCACCAGCGAGGGGTCCCTCGGGACACCGAGCAGTGTTGGGATGTAGTGTAGGAAGGACCGCCTTTCACAGCCCCGAGGGCTGGGAGCCTCACCTCAGCTAGGGCCGCAGGTGGTGCCCACAGGCCGCCGACCCTCTACTTCTGCTAGAAATGCCATGAAAACAGATTTTGGTTGCTTTGATGGGCTTTACGTGGACATGCATTCCAAATCATGTGTTTTACTACAAGTGAAAAAAAGTTTCCAACCACTTTCCAAAAGAGAAGACAAAATTTAGTGGCTGACTGGGTAGGCTGGGCATTTGAAAAGAGATCATGGGATATTGTTGGATGTAGACACTTGCAATGTTCGGTCTGTACAGCTGTGTCCCCGCCAGAAATGAAAATTACAGAAGTGAATCAATTCATTTTGAAATTCTTTTTCCTTCCTAGGAGCATCCTTAGCCATACAGCTGTAACACAGCTTTTGATGTTAGAGTCTAGAGGACTCAAGAAACACGACCAAATTATTTGGACCCAAGTAGATGTCCAACTTGAAAATTCCACTTCAAGATGGAAGCTTTGACAAGAGACTATTTAGGACAGAAGCAAGAATGGGAAGACGAGGCTGGGCGTACGAATTCAAGGGTCTCACTTGCACAAGAAAGGTCAATTAAACGCTGGGACTGATCATTTTTGATGTTTACTTTAATTGACTGGCTATTCTTGTCCTTTAGGTAGGATGGCTATCTATGTATGAATAGCCAAGGAACTGAACGCGTAGGAGAGGCATGCATCGGGCATAGCTGTCCGAAGGCGGGCTGAAGACAGCAAAGACTAGGCATCGATTAACTGATTCATTCATTTGAGGCAGAAAGAAAAGCAAGTCATGAACCTGACACAGAACGGAGCTGACAGGTCTGACAGGCAGCACGGCGCGGTGCAGCCGGGACAACAGAACAGGCAGAACAAACAACGGCACGTAACTAGGGAAGGCTCCAGGGGTAAGGGGCAGACAGTGCAGGGCCTAATAGGCTCTTTACTATCTATGACATGGGTTCCGCTGGAGTGTTAAGCGAAACGGACACGTCCTGCCTTATGTCTTTAAGGGGCTTCAACTGCTTTGTTCCTATGGTACAGTTCTCACCTGGATATTCATCTCTTTGGGTTTCTGTCTCCACCATCAAAAGCTTTTCTTCTCTCTCCAACTGGGCTATCAGGTCTGGTTTGAAGGGCTGATGTGCTGTTAAAAAAAAAAAAAAGTAAGAAAAGCAAAATAATTAAGCCTGATGACATCCACTTTGTCAAAACTAGCTAATAAGGTACACACGGCCAAACATGGCATCCTGTGACATCCTCTCCTCTCCGCCCTGTTACCTCCCACCCAGTGTAAGAAACCAACCTCATGATTTTCTGGTTAATCTTTCCTTCCTGTTTAAGATAAACAGATACACAGTTACTTATTTTCTGCTCTTTCTTGCCCAAATTGTAGTGTACTATTAATGCTTTTTCACACTTGGCTGCCTGTAAGAATTCCCAGAGATGGACCATCGAAGAATAAATACATAGCTTTGTTGACAGTGTCCAATTCTCCTCCCTGAGGGTGGTCTCAGTCTGTATTTTTATTTTCAGTGTGTGAGAATACTTTTATTCTACAGAGTCTGACAAAAACTGGTGTTAAATTTTAAATTTTTGTCAATTTCATGGATAAAAAATGATACATCAATATAATTGTAACATTTCTATTTTGAATTGAACATCTATTCACTTACATAAAGATTTATACAGATATCTGTATATTCATGTACATATAAATATATATGCAAGTGTAAATACACATATATGTACACACACACACACACAAACACACTTCTGAATTCTATCCTCTGAATCCAAGAAACCAAGATACCATAGTGGCAATGACCATAGTATCCGGATCTTTTTGTTAAATACAATTTCCCAATAATAGCCACGGATGATTCTAGAGCTCGGGCAAAGTAAAAGGTGAGCATATAAGGATTGCTCAGAACACTATTAGGGATTGTGACACAGCCACCTTAGAAGAGCCAAATGGAAACAACTTTAATATTAAATAAGTAACTGCCCAGAGAGAGGCCAAGGGGAAGCGCAAGTCTGGACCATTCTTGGATCTGCCCCATCGGCTTCCTCCCTTGCAGAGCTCAGTCTGTCTCCTTTCCCTGGGATACACCACACTTCCAAAGATAACAGCCTCTGGTGAGCTCTGAGTCCCTCTAGTGAATTTTCAGGCCTGACAGTGGCCGTGGGGTCCTCAAAACTTGCAGTTGATGTCGGAAGTGAGGGTGGTCTTAGGGACTCCCAAACTCTGCATACACACTGAACTACTGGGAGAAAAAGGGCCACAGTGTATGTAAATTACCCTCAAAGGTTCAGAAAAAAATATTATGAAAATATATACACTTTCACTTATAAATGTATATAGAGAGAAAGCAAAGGGGTACAATGGTACTATAAGTGGATCCAGATGAAGCCATGTAGGTACTCCTGCTCTTTTATTTTTATAAATTTCCTGTAAATTTGAAGTTATTTACAAATACACTGTTAAAGAAAAAAACAATAATACTTCCCACAAATCAAATTAATAAACAGTTATTGGTGCCCTAATAAACAACAAAACAAAACTGGAGCAACCAACGAAGCTGATCTCACAACAAACCAATGGAGCAGGAACCCTAATTTGCCCATTTACAGCTCAAAAGAGAGACTTTGGCCCGGAGAGAACCATCAGAAATCTCCTGCTTGTGCTGCCCTTGAAAATGTATTTTGCACACAAGGGAAAGGCCCTTCAGGCACTCAGGCTCAGAGGATGACTGCAAAGGGCCCAGAACTCCAAACAGGGGAGCCCACAGAGACACCCCGGAGGCAGCCACAGGGTTGCGCAGCGAGCCGTCCTCACCCACGGAGAGCAGGTTCCTGAAGTTCTCCAGCATCACGTCCCGGTACAGCTTCCTCTGGGCAGAGTCCAGCAGCCCCAGCTCCTCCTCGCTGAAGACCACGGCCACGTCCCTGAAGGTCACCGCCTCCTACGGCACCAAACACATACCGACTGCTTATGGAACACAGAGGGACTGACAAAGTGTAAAGCGAGGGAAGTTACTCTGGATTCTCAGGGACTCAAATCGAATTGAAGTAGATGCCTCTGGTTTGCCTTTCATGCTGCTGCAGGAAAAGAAACCCTTGCATTTGCCGCCTTTTGCTGGCACTCCCAGAGGTACATCCCTGGAACTCTGTTGATCCTGGGCTGATATTTTACACGTTATTGAAGATGTGCCTGATGGTCTGTTTCGCCTCTTTTACATGCACAAGCACTTACTTAATCTGCCAATATATTCTTCTGCCTTTGTGTCCCATCTGGGGCCTGACTGCCTCTGTGCACATCCAGATGTTCTGCCCTATGCTGGCAGATCTTGTGATCACGGACTGTTGGGGACCACCACAAAGTGGCTCTGAGCTGGATTTCGGTGTTTACTTGTGAGTTGTCTGAAGCTTAGGCACCTTGGCTGAAGATAGGCAATGGACTCATAGTGAATAAACCAAGTCCCCTCTGTGAAGCTGTGACACCTCAAAGGACAAGATAAGGCCACAGCTGAGGACGTCTGGCTCCAACCCCAATGGAACTGCAAGGAGACTGCAACTGCAGGCTCCACACCCCTACAATAAATACTACCCTAAAGGTAAGGTAGTTCTCCTCACTGACATAATTTACTACTTTGGGAAAATTCTCCCAAAGTTCTGTCCAGATTCCCACCTTTTCCTGAGTATCCTCCTCCTTTGTTTGTAAACCAAATAAATATGGGTTGCCCAGAGGAGTCTTTGGCTAAACTCAGAGAATATCAAAGCTGTAAGAGCGTTAGTCCCTCCTGGAGCCCTGAAATCATTTTCACTGTCTCATTTATTTAAGCCTTTGCCGTCCACTCGCTTGGGAGATTGCGGGCCTGATCAGTCTGCCATAACTAAGGGTTATTTAACCCGATATTCGATAATGGACAAGTTTCTCCTTCTCTCATTTACATGCTGATACCTATGCCACAGAGTCCCGTTAATAAAATGAGTAGCACTCAGGAACAGTAACTGTCACACAGTAACTATCCAATAAATGTCAGCTATCACACTCACCTCATTATCATTATTTTTATCCCATTTTAGGGCTACATAGTCACTGAAGGAACTGATGATCTACCATATAATGAACTGATTCAATTCATACATATTTACTTAGTTTTAGATTACCCATTCTAAAAAATAGTGCAAAAAGCATCCTTTTAGCCAGATGTGTTGGCACACGCCTGTAAGCCCAGCACTCGGGAGGCTGAGGCAGGAGGATCATTTTGAGTTCGAGACCCGCCTGGGCTACAAAGTGAACTCAAGGCCAGGCTGAACTGCATTGCGAGACTCTGTCTCAAAAAGACAAGAAAAAAAAAAAAAGCATCCTTTTACATAGTTCTTAGTCCCTGGAACCCTGTTGATTAGCTCTTCAAAATAAATATCAGAAAGTAGAAATAGCCAGGGTGAACAATAGTGACTTTTACCATTTTGAAATCATAATGGCAACTGTTAAAAACCTTCCCTCAAGAAAAGGTTTTTTAAACTAAGTCTTCCTCCAGAAATAATATCAATCCTATACTGGTCCAACACTAGATAATACTGTACTTAAACAAATGAACAAAAACCTTTGATAATCACAGAAGTAAATTTGGAAAGCAACAACTAATTATTTTTTAAATTTTCACAAAATTGAGTAGTAATAAAGATGACTGCTGTTTATTTCTTATTTTAAAATAATATTCATTTGGGGGCACAAAAGTCTTTATTTCTAGGTACACTGGAAATATTTTTCCTTCTATATTGCCGTTTGTCTTATAACTTCTTTTTTTTTTGTCTTTTTGAGACAAGGTCTCACTATGCAGTTCAGGCTGGCCTTGAGCTCACTTGGTAGCCCTTGCTGGACTCAAACTCGCAACAATCCTCCTGCCTCAGCCTCCCAAGTGCTGGGATTACAGGCGTGAGCCACCATGCCCTGCTTGTCTTATAACTTCTTGCTGCAAGAAAATTAAACATTTTACATGGAGACAAGTCCAATACTGCACTTGTCCTGCCTGGAGTTCTGAGCATCCCAAGCTCAGCTCTGAATGAACCCTTGTTTGGTTTGCTCTGCAGTTTCGTTTCTTTATGCCTAGGAGTCTGCCTGACTCTGCTGACCAGAAGGCAAAGGCTCTGGAGCTGACTGGACCCCTGTCTTTGAGAACCTGAACCTCTTATCTTCATGGGAACAGTGCAAATGCTCTCAAGGTCCTACTTGGTTGCTCGGAGCTATGATTAAACGGACAGATAAAAAGTCTTTATCAGTCCTACAGTATGACTTAAAAAAATGTTAAATCAACTATCTGTATTAGGTAGTAAATTAATTAATGAATAAAGAAGCACACAGACATACACAATACACACAGAAAGCTTCAGGTACTGAGATGAAATTATCTAACTTTTCTTGTATGAAAAATATTTTTTTCAAGTTTAGCTTCAGTATGATTTTGTTAGACAAAACTGTACTTTAGGTGTTCTTTTTAAAAAGTCCCAAAGGGGCCGGGGATATAGCTCAGTGGCATAGGTGCCTGCCTGACAAGTGCAAGGTCCTGAGTTCGATTCCTGGTACCCAAAAAAAAAAAAATAACCAACCTTCTCTATATGTAGGAAAGCTGCTACTGCAATGCAAAACTGTAAGAATCCTCAGGAATTTAAAAGCTTGTGAATGGGAAATAATTTAAAGAAAAAGGTAACGGTGGGCGTAATAACAGTTCACTGAAATAATATTAGATAATAAAAATGTTACTATTTGAAGTTAAAAAAAAACCTCCAATTTTAAAATATACCTAGGACTGCACATACATTTATGAAGGCATATCTTAAAATAACTATGAAAAAAACCCAAGTGATTTGTAAGAAAAATAATGCATGAAATTTTAAAATTTCTATTCTCTTTTGTACTACTATTTGTGAAATAAAAATGTCAAAAACTAAGAAGAAGCCAGTCATGGCAGGCACACCTGTTAATCTCAGCACATGGGAAGCTGAGGGGGGGGAACCACCTTACATTCGAGGTCAGCCTGGGCTTCACAGTGAGTTCAAGACCAGCCTGAACTACATAGCACAACCTGTATCAAAAAGCAAAAAACCAAAAAAAGAAAAAAAATTAAAGGACAAAAACAAAAACCAAGAGTGGCTGAAAGTAAATAGTGTCAAAAGAATATTGCTAGAGCGGGGCGTAGTGGCACACGCCTGTAATCCCAGCACTGGGGAGGCTGAGGCAGGAGGATCGTTGCAAGTTCCATACCAGCCTGGGCTACAAAGTGAGCTCAAGGCCAGCCTGAACTGCATAGCGAGACTGTGTCTCAAAAAGACAAAAAAAAAAAGAATATTGCCATTCCTAATTTTGGCTAGGAATGTGTGTGTGTGTGTGTGTGAGAGAGAGCATGCGCATGCCCTCTAAGAAATAACAGATAAATGGCAGAAATAAAAATCAACTCACCTGAAATTTGGTCATTTCTTCCTCCTTTTTCTAGGGAAAGGCAGTGACCTGAGAAGGCAGAACAGGGTAACAGGAAAGAAGCCATGAATGAAAGGGAATTGTACCCTTGTGCACATACGGAAAGGTATCTGTTCCCTCCCCGCCGATAGTCCATACACATCTGCTAAGCGGTGGACAGTGTGGGCTAGACTCCAGCCCACATAACACCACTCGGCCCTGAACGACCTGCACAGCTGTACCCGGCATGGCTCCTGGGGTGTTCATTCTGATTCCAGGAAACCCAGAAAAGATGCAGCAGTGAAGAGCACGGGTTAAAAGTGGACCCCTGGTGCTAAATACCTGTGTTCAGAACCTGGTGCTGCTATCGACTTGTGAGTAACCACAGTTAAATTCCTTATCCTTATCTTTCCCAGTGATTCAATCCTGTCATCTGCCAATTGGGACCCTTACAGTGCTAATATTACAGGATTGTTGTTAGGACGATTTACAGAGCCAGCATCATAGGACTGTTGTCAGCACTGTGGGTGAGAAGGATGGAAAGCTATTATAAAACACCAAAGCTCTCTATTTCCTTGCAGCTGCAGAGAAGTAGACATTACTATGCATCATAAAACTGCCCCTGGAAATGTATTTTGTAAGACATCTGGATGCAGCGATTCTTGCTCTGTCCAAGGAAAATCACCCTTTACTCCAATGGTTGGTTAATATTTTTCCTGAAGCCAGAGGAAGTTCACAGCTACAACAGATATATCCCATAGCAATACAATGAAAAAAAAAAGATGAAATCTGTCGGGGGGTTTTCAGTGCTAGGGATGGAACCCAGGGCCTTGAGCATACTAGGGCATGTACTCTACCGCTGAGCTACACCCCCAGCCTGCTACTACCGGGTATTTCTGACGTTAAAACAGGAGACCTTCTGCCTCACCTGGACCAGATCACATTGGCGATAAGAACACCGCCCCTCAGGGCTGTCTATGGGGTTAAGTGTGCTCACCTGTGTAACGCTGCTCAGTGCTGATCGTTAGACAGATCTGAAGAGAAGTTTAATGCTGTGAGTTCCTCCTTGGAATTTGTTACATTAGAATTGTTGCGGGGGGGGGGGGGCGGTGGTGCTGGGGATTTAGCTCAGCGGCACAGCGCCTGCCTGGCAAGCACAAGGTTGTGAGTTCGATTCCCGGTACTGGAAAAAACCCAAAAACCAAACCAGAATTGTTGTGGGATGACTTCAAGGCCATTGGTGGGAAAGAAAGAACTAAAAAAAAAAAAAAAAGCTAATTAGGAACTGAGGATCAGGCAGAGCCTCTGAGCAGCACCTTGGAGAGAGGTCTGCTGCTCCAGTAACTCGTCCCTCTCCAACGCCCCTGCCCACACAGGCGCTGCTGGAGAATGTAGAGCAAGTGTGCACAGCACCTTCGCTTCCTAACGGCAGAGAAAGAAGGGCGTTTGCTTTGACATATCACATTTCCCAATTGTCTTCTAAAAATGATACAGTTCCGGGATAAATGCTAGAGTAGCGTGTGCAAGAGGGAGAGGGACGGAGGGGCTCAATGGGACCCTGAGACCTCCTGATCTGAGTCAGGTCTGAACTCAGGCAGGGACTCCTCAGAGTGCTTGAACAGAATGAGAGTTAAAGAAACCCTGGAGCAAAAGAGCAAGCCCAGGAGGTGTTGAGAAGCCAAAAGCCAGAACACAGGCTTTAGCGGAAGTGCCCCATTTAATCCTCACAGTGCCCCAGGAGGTGGGACAATTGTAACTTCCATCACAGGTAACAAAAGTTATGTGCTCATAACTTTCCATTTAGCCAGCAGAACAGCCAGGATAATTAGCCCAGACTCTGCTCTCAATTTGTAGGATCATGGCTCTCAGTCACTGGCACCACCTGGGAGTTTTAAAAAATATTACCAATGCCCAGAGTCCAGGGGTGGATCTATAAATCAGGATCTATCGAAGCATTTTTATGAAATCCCTACAGGTGACCAGAGTTTGCAGAGACAGTTGCAAACCACAGACTATGGGATGAATGGAGGCAGTCTGCAAGCTGAGCCCACACAATTAACAGCCTCTAAGGAAACCGTCAGGGAACCACTGCCAGGAATAGAACAAGGCCCGGGACCCAGCCTCCTGATTCCCAGCTCCCCCTCGCTATTGTAAGATGCTCCTGGAGCTGTCACCCGGAGGAAACGGCAGCAACGTGTGCAGTAGATACCTCTGCCAGCAGCACGGAGGCTTCTCATCAAGACCTGCTTCATCAGCTTTTCTAAGCAGGGGCTCACTAACCACGGAGGGACTCGAAATTAAAAGACAGGCTGCGGGTGTCTATCCTACCGACAGAGAAGAGAAAACTCCCGAGCAGAGCCGCGGACCTTAGCTGCCAAGACACAGAGGTAACAGGGAGCGAGAGCTTGCCAAAGGAGATGAACAAGCAACCACCCTACACAGCCGTACCTGCCAGACGTGGATGTCACCAAGACTCCCAACTCTCCAGACGCAGACTAAAAATTTCCCACTCCTCCCTGCCATACCCCTGCCCTATCCAAACACCCCTATAAAACCTTCCCCAGCCAGTTCCTCAGGGCCAACGGTCTTACTGCCCCTGGCCCACCTGCACCCAGGCTGGAATCAATTTTGCTTATTGCTTCAACTTCACCTGAGTTGGTGGCCCCTGTCATGCCTCAGTTTACACTAACTTGCCTAGCATGTGCAAGGCCTTGGGTTCCTTCCCCAGTACTGCAAACCGCAAAATAATTAAAAATAAAAGGCAATTCTTGTTTCATATGCATCTAAACAGTGGTCAACCTACCTAATATTCTTGGTTCTTTACCTGTTAGGTACAGTTAATATCCAATTATGTTCCTTCCTGGGTAAAACATGCGCATGGCTGCCTAATGCCACGTCTGATTAAAGCAGCTGAGCTCTGTAACTGTGACAGGGACAACATGTGCCACTCCCGTTTCTCTGTACTGTAGCTAAGCACAACACAAATACAGGACCGGGATTGGGTTAACTCATTCGTGTTAAAATGATGCTGAGTAGCATTTCAAATACCACATGTATTGCTACACCACATACTGCAGTTTTTTCTTTGTCAGTACCTATGCATCAAAAAAGAACAGAAACACAGGGTCTGTCACACTTCTGAGGCACAATGGTGATGACACAGTTATTGAATTAGACACCTAAGTCTTTTGCTTATTATAAAGTGAGAACATGGCCACATTAAAAGAATACAATATATGTCAACACTGTGAGCACTCATCACAAATAACTCAGAATAAAGCAATATTCAGGAAAATTTGAAAATTTCAAATGAAATGTTTCATCACGCTGAATTTTTTCACAAAAACCAATAATAAAAATGAAGTTGCAAACAAAGCAAGATTTGGATATTCAGATAGTCAGCTTCTATTTCCCATCCAAGGAAAATAATTTACCAGTGATGAGCTGATTAGATCATGTTTTGATTGTAGCAGGTAAGGAAATATATCCAGACAAAAAAAATAATTTTGCTTAAAATTATGGGGCTTTGGGCAAGAACAGTTGCTCTAAGAGTTGCTGATAATAGAAACAACACTATAGTCCATTAAAATATAAGAGAAAAATAAATAAAATAAAATAAAATAAAAGAGAAAATATTTTGCTAAATTGTATTTGGCCCTTGATGATTCCACAGATGTTACTGATGTTGCTCATTTGTTGTTTATTCAAGGAATCGATGCCCAGTTTGAAGTGACTGAATAATGAGGCTCTAGGAATAGTCTGTAAGAACTACTGGTAACAGGGGGCTGGGGATTTAGCTCAGCGGCAAAAAGCGCCTGCCTGGCAAGCACAAGGTCGTGAGTTCTGTTCTCGGTACCAGAGAAAAACCTAAAAACCTAAAAACCTAAAAAAAAAAAAAAAAAAGAACTACTGGTAACATATCTCCAAAGAAGCTGAAAAAAAAACACTAACTCACTATGAACCCAAACAGCATAATCAAGCTACATCTGCTAACATGTGTTAAAATTGATACTGCTAAAATATGCTGGAGCAGAAAACGGCCAAAAGGACAGATTTATAAAGTTTGTTAGGAAGCACGTTTAAAGCCTCTGGTCATTCAATGTGTTATTCAGCAGCAGTGATAATATTTTGCTGATAATATTTTACTCATGTGCAACTGACCCACTAGTGTCCATCAACATGAACTCCATTCATTCTCATGGACTTAACCATCATGTTTTGTGAGTTTTGTCAGAAATAAAAGGATCCTCACTGGCCTATCGTGTAAAAGTTCAATAGCCTGAGAAACAATAAAGTTTATTGTGATTTCCCACCCTAAAGGCACTGAGACTGAAATTGTTGGGAGTGGCTGAAGCTGGAAATTGGTCATACATGCGAGGGCAAGACAGAGCCAGAATGCCTAAAGCAGTCAAGCTACCTCAGTCTTGAGAAAAGCATCCTGCCTAGACAATTCAGTCATTAGTTGCTAGGCAACCCTGTATCTCATGATACTAACTTTGCAAAGGTATAAATAAACACCCCTACTGTTGTTGTTCGGGTCCTCTTACCCATCCAGTAAGGAGGCCTCCACTTGACCCAGCTCCTTGTCTCTTGTCTATCTTTTCCTCATTCCCACTGTTCTCCTCCAGGGTCCATGGAGAGACCAAGGAGTCCCTACAGAAATGCTTTTGAATAAGAAGTGTCCTTGATCATTACTATTGGATACTGGATGGCTTTGAGAATTAGCTTTAGCTAGATTTTGCAGTGTTTCTTAATGAAGTCAACCTAAACACAGAAGGCAAAACAGCACCAGTTTGTGAAGATTACACTGTAGTAAAGTCATTCATATATATGGAGGGGGGAAGGAGAGGGGAATGAAAGGTCTGGGCTAGTCTTATAAATTTCCACAGTAATAAAACACAAGGGAAAAGTAAAATCTATTGTTGGGAGCCGCTGAAGCTGGAAAATAATTACACACGCAGGATGAACCCAGTCCGAAAACACAAAGCACAGCCTTTGTAACTTGTTAACTGACTGCTGTTAGAAATTAACCAACCTCTGGAGGGTATAAATAAACACCCCCACTACTGAATTCAGTCCTCATGCTCATCAGGCAAGAGGTAACTCCACCTAACCCGGCTATTGTCTCTTGTCTTTATTTTCTAAATCCTCTTGCCATTTTCTCCCAGGGACCAACGAGAGACCACTGAGTCCCACAGTCTATTATGTAAAACTTAGGTAAAAATCCAAAACTAAATCTACTGAATAGGAACATGAAAATACTGTTATCACCAGTATACCCTGTGTTCATGGGTAATAACATTTCTTCCTTATATTTTATATATTTTCTTAATATCTACAATATATAATCATTTATTTATTCAAAATGTGAACCATAAATACTTCAAATACAATTAAATTGCAGATAACTAAAAAAATGTTATCAAAATGTCAAAACTGCACTGGGGATACAGCTCAGTGGCACAAGCATCTGCCTAGCAAGTGCAAGGTCCTGAGTTCGATTACTAGTACCAAAAAAAAAGTCAAAACTCATTAACATAGCTTTTGTGACTCTACAAAAGCCCAAACACAACTTTTCAACCTGATACAAAACACGTTTATGAGATGGGTGGCCTGAACCACCAGTGGTACATGCCTGACTGTCCCATGTATGACTTTACCTCTTAAAAACTAGCAGTAGCCACTAGATAGGATGGTCACGCCTGTACCAGGGGAGGTGCAAGATGGCAGGAACATAAGAACTAAAGCAACACAGAACCAGGCATAGTGGCCCATGCCTATAATCCCACTGCTTAGAAGGCTGAAAAAAAAAGGAGGCTGAAGCAGGACAGTCACCAGTTCTAGGCTAGCCTGGACTACATAAGGAGGCTCTCTCTCACAAAACCAAAAAAAAAAAAACAAAAAACAAAAAACAAAAAAACCGAACATCACACACACACACCAAACAAAGGCAATGGAGTAAACTACCTAAATTCAGCTTCTCCCTAGTTGCCTAACTGTGAAAATTAGGACAAACAACCCATGTGTTTCTTCATCTCTAGATTGGGCTGACAGTCCCCTCAACTGTAGGATTGTTGTGATGTTAATGATGTTAAGTCATAAAATTCTCTTACAATAATATTTAGCACTAAATGTTTGTTCACTGTATTATTCATGTCTAAGCACTCCCCCATCCCTTCCTGCACTGACTTAACATACCAGGGCAGCTTTGTAGCAGATTTAGCCAATAAGTAAAGAAAATACCTTCTCCCCCAAAAGTATAGGACCCGGGGGAAGGAAGGATGCTAGATTCTACTCAGGTAAGACTCTGCTGCCTGGAGCCAAAAGGTCATTCCCTCCTCCTGTAGCCTTTCCCAGGTCTAAGCTGGAAAAAGAAGAGGCGAGAAATCAGAACTCCATCACAACTTCCCCATCAATTACAGTGGACATCCCTGGTAACAGCGGGAGGGACCCTCTCCAGGAAAACAATAAAATCATTCATATAAGGGATTCCGGTCCAGCCCCACTTCCTTCAGGTGCTACAGGTGGAGCTCTGACTCCATGCTAAGTACACTGAAGCTCCTAGAGAACTGAGTGTTTCTCAAAACTTAGAGAAAAAAAAATTACAGAATACTAGTAACAAATGACCTGCCGTTATCTTCTACCGTGCGCTTGACTCAGTTCTCAAAATCACTCTTAGGAGCCAGGCGTGGTGGTGCACGCCTGTAATCCCTGCACTCTGGGAGGCTGAGGCAGGAGGATCCTGTTCGAGCCCAGTGTGAGAAACGTAGCGACTTAGCGAGAACCTGTCTTGGAAAGACGGTATGGCTGGGAATGTAGCTCAGTGCAAAGGCTCTGGGTTCAACCCTTTGTACAGTAAACACTTGGGTAGGTACTAAGAACATTTTAAAGAAGAGCGGAAGTCCAGTAGTACACCGCTGAAAAGTGGCAGAGCTGGCGAGGGCCCGGTAGAGAGCTGGGGAGAGCACAGAGCTCAGGAGCCCCTTAATCCCCGTCTGTACTACCCTGGTCCCGGCCCAAGCCGGAGATGCGCCGCACACTGTGAAAGTCCATTCAAAGGGACCACAAACCCCGCGTTTCCCTGCAGACGTACTCTCTTCCCCCGGGTCGCCTCCTGGTTGCCACCGGCCCGGGGCGAAAGGAGGAAAGATCCGCGCAGACGCCGGGGGCAAAGGTGCCGAGGAGAGAGCTCACCTTTCTGCAAGAAGCGCAGGCCGCGGCCTCGCATACCTGGGGCGGAAGTGGCTTCGCTGCCGAGCCCGCCTGGACTACGCTTCCCAGATTCCCGACGAGAGCCGGGCGGCAGCCTCCGCCTCCTGCGGCGGAAATTATCCGGCTACCCGGGGTTCCCGCACTACACTTCCCAGAATTCCCTGCTCCCCAGCCCCTTCCCAGAGCGGAAGTGACAGCAGCTGGAGCTACGGATTGATTCACCCGCAGCCCCTCAAGAATGGATTCCCAAGCTCTGCTTTCCTGCAGCCAGTCTTCCAAATAGAGAGAATGCTGACGTACTGTATTACTTCTCTAGTCTCACCCGCAGATCGCGCTTAAAGACGCTTTTCCTAGAGTGTGTCTGCGACCGTGTAGGTCTTCTGGACTACACTTCAGGGGATCTTCTGCCGGGACAGCCCTTCCAGCGAGGCTGGGTAGTATTTGGATAATCACTGTAGTCTTGGCAAGACAATCGGAATTAACTCTGTACTACTAGTCGACCTCGGCTGTCCTTACCCCAACCCTTTTTTTTCCCTCGAAAATTATCTTTCAAATGTGCCAAACACCCAAATAAACTCAACCACAGCAATCTACCTACCTACTCCAAGAAAACGCCCTATAAAAGAGAAGCAGAGAGACTTGAAAAAGAAAGGAAAAGCAGGTTATAAAAAGGAAATGATGCATGAGCCAATAATGCAGATACTGGAAGGAATCTGGCCTGCAGTGGGCGCTGAATTTAAGAAATCCAAGATTTTGACCTTACTTTGATTGGATTGCCTTTTTCATTCTCTTCGGGCCTGAGTGCATAAAGAACTCTTGACCATGAAGCTACTACCTACAAATAAAGCGTTACTTCCAAAATCTTCAAGAATTGAACGTAGATGCCAAGGATTAAAAGAAAATAACAACAAAATGCCCATAGATGGAACCGTTAACAGAGCTGCAAAGCAGCAATAGCAATTTTTCCCACCTTTTCTTGGCTTTAACTGATGATTATGAGATTATGAGACATGAGTTGGAAGGCAAAGGGAAAGTCTTACAACACTGATACAAATGTAATACTGGAGAATAACTGGAATAACTGGAAAATCTTTTCCAGAATAACTGGAAAATCTTTTATGAAATCTTGAAATTTTTTCTTCTTGAAACTTCTATTGTCACATCACCTATTTTCATCCTGTTCTTGATGGCATAAATACTTTAAGTTGCTAATGGAAGTCAGGCAGATTTGCAGATTGATGAATGAGGTCATGGTTCAATCTGTTCCAACCGTATGTGTTCATAATTAGGAAGAGGGGAGGCATATAGTTGGAGATAGTAAATAACTATATAGAGTCTAGATTATGTCAAGTGAATCTACAGAAAGTATGTAACACTTTCTTCTGGGCAATACATTTGACATGAAACTTATAAAAATAATACAAAAGTATTGAGAATAATGACATAAAACACCAAATCCACACCCTCTAAATTCAATACTTACTACTATCTCACCTTTTGTTACTAGATATTTTAGACCAAATCTCTGACAATTTCCTTTCAAATACAAAATATAAATAGCAATATTGCAGAACACGTTGGCACACACCTGTAATCCCAGCATAGGGGGAGGACTGCAAGTTTGAGTCCAGCCTAGAAAACTTGGCAAGACCATCTCAAAGGACAAAAACTAAAAAAGGGCTGGGGAGGTAGCTCACGTAGGGAAAAATAAAGCCTAACATGGCTACAGTTAGGTTCAGGCTGTAGGGCAGGGGGTGCTGATTTCCAGTGGTCATCATATTCAAGTCAGCAAGATCTCAGCACAGGAACACCTCAGCGGTCTCGGTGTCAGTAACTGATATAAGCAAGGTCAACACTAGCTAGTGTAAATAACTTACATAACAAAGTCCGTTACTGGCACATGGCCGTTATTGTGTATCTTCATATAAATGTAGACTGCCATGAATGCTAGTGGAAAACTAAGCAGATAAGGGCTGCTGTGAAAACAGACAGGTTAGGGGCCTGGGGACTGCCACGCCAGTGCGTGCAGCCGAGCAGCACCAGAGAACAAAGGCAGGTTCAGATACTTCCAGACTCTGGGTCTCTTCCTCAGGCTGCCCAAATCTCAAGCGAACCTTTTCAATTTGCACTGACAGACAGCTCAGTGTGAAGCACCTCATGACCTTATGAAACCAAATTAACAATTTTTGGTAAGGTATCCCAATTTGAATTCCTGTTTATTGAAAAAATGCATGGTTTATCTCAACCAATATCCAAATAATCCAAAGTATACCATAATTCTGGAAGGAAATTGATATAAAAAATGCCCTCCAAAACTCCTTTATTATCCAAGAGTACTGAGAAGATTGTGTGCATCTGTTTCTGACAATGAATGCTGTTGGTCTTCTAAAGGTTATTGCTCACTTTAGTGTTAGTTTTACAATTAACTTTATTGAGGTTCATTGCAGGACACCTATTCTAGTTAAGTTTTTACTGCACTTTGGGTGTTGACAAATTTCTACACCATCACACGTTACAGAATCTCCCTACAACATAGGATTTATGTCTATAGGCTGAACCTTTGTATAGCATCCGGAACATTTTTCTTTTGTGTACATACCAATGAATGATAATTCTCACTGAAGAAGTCCCATCCATACATCTAAATGTTAGATGGCTTCATTTCCACATCAAGCCTTAATGACTTAAAAGTTCTGAACTCTGAATTGTACAGTATTACTACCCTATGAGGACTCCACTGACTGTAACATGTTGCTATTAAATCCCTCTGTAGTAGTTAGGATAGCTCCGGTAATGTCACTCACAAGTAAACCACCAAAGGATTTCAGTGGTGTGATGCAATACATGCTTATTTCTTATTAAAAGAAAAAAAACCAACATGGGTGAAATATCAAGCCAGAGTGGAACAAGGAGCCTCCCAAGGCCCCTTGGCAGGGAAAGAGAAACCTTAGGACACAATGAGATGCTTGGTAAAGGCCTATTACAGCTTGTGTCTAGATGTCCCTCCAAAGCTTCATGTGGTCATAGGTGAAGCTCTTCAGAAGTGGTTGGATCGAAGGTGTGTGATGCTGGGATTAAGGATATGATGCTACCCTAAGGGCAGGTAGCCTGGATGGACTAGAGGGGACAGAAAGTGGGCTGTCGTCCTCACTTGCTGCTTTGCTGCCTTTTGCCTGCCCTGCCACACCAGCCGACTATGGACTGAAACATTTACAAACTGTAAGATGAAATAAACTTTTCTTCCTCTAACTTTGGGTGTCAGGTATTTTGTATCAACAATGAGAAAAGTAACTAAAACAGGTTAAACTTTTGGAAGTGGCTTAAACTACTTTTGCTGACTCCATTGGCTAGCACTCAGTCACATGGCCTCATTCTTAACTGAAGGGGTTGCTGTGAAAGTGCATCTTCTTAGGGACTAAGGGAATAGTACCGGTATGATACACACATAGCACTGTCTTTGCCACACCCTCAAAATATCATTCTACAGTGTTTGTCTCCTGGAGAGAAAATCTAATGGGTTTGAAAATATGAAGATGGATGCTTTTACCAATTAGCATGGGTTTCATTTCTGAGCATAGTTTTGAACGTTCTTTACATAGAAAGTATCTATTTAGTGGTGATGCTTGGGAGGAAAAAAACCTAAAACATTTGGGTTGACTGAAGACGTACTCATCCCAACTAGAAGTTTCTTCCCAGATACATCCTTTAATGAAAATTTGACCTCTGTTTCCACTACCACCCATTTATCAAGAATTACATACGTTGCCACCGCCGCATATGTCAATTGATAGGAGTGTCATAGAAGTTCTTGAGACCCATAGTAGCTGCCCGGCATGCTCTTAAGAACCCGCCCTGGTGGTGCTGACTGACATCATGGATGGCAGCATCCCTGTGTTCTGCCCCCTAGGGCCCCCTCAATGGCTGAGTAAGCCTCAATCATGCGGATACATTCTGGCTTTTGTCTTTTATTGAATCCTAGCTGTCTACGTTTGTAATATTTCTGTCTTCTTGTACAGTCTCTGATGAGTGAGAAGTTTTGAGCTGTAACTAAAACCCTTCCCACGCTCATGACATGGATATTGCATTTCATCTACATGTGCTCTCTGATGGGCACAAAGATAGCAGTTGTGACTTAAGCCCTTGCCACATTCTTTACATTTATAGGGCCTTTCTCCTGGGTGGACTCTGAGATGAACATGAAGATCTGAATTCTGACTGAAGCCCTTACCATCACATTTATAGGGTTTCTCTCTGCTGTGATCTCTTCGATGTACGTGAAAGTAGGAGCTCTAGCTGAAGCCTTTACCACGTGCTTCCCATTTGTATGGTTTTTCTCTCGTGTGAACTCTCTGATGAGTGTGAAGAACCAAACCATATGCATAATCCTTTCTGCACACATTGCAGTCGTAGGGCTTCTCTCCTGTGTGGACCCTCTGATGAATGTGAAGGTGGGAACTTTGGTTGAAGCCCTTCCCACACTCCCCACACCTACCAGGCTTCTCCCCCATGTGCAACCTCCGGTGGACCTGAAGAACAGAGCTTGAACTAAAGTACTTGCCACACTTACTGCACTTGTAGGGTTTCTCTCTGGTGTGGACGCTCCAGTGGACAAGAAGGTTGGAGCTCTGATCTAAGCCTTTCCCACACTCTTGACATCTGTAGGGCTTTTCCCTGTGTGTACTCCCTGAGGAACACAAAGCAGTGACCGGAACCTGAATGCCTTCCCACACACGTCGCCTTTGTAGGGCATCTCGCCAGTATACACTAGGTGGTGGCTGTGGGGAGAGGAGCTGTGCTGAAAGCCCTTGCCGCATTCTTTACATTTGTAAGGCTTGTCTCCTGAGGGGTCTTGCTGGTATCTAGGAAAAGGCATGAGCTCCGCTTGCAGCCCTCATCTTACTCATGGCATTCACAAGGTGTCTCACCAGCGTGGGTTCTGGAAGGAACAAGATCTGGACTCTGACTGAAATTCTTTGCACACTGGTCGCATTTACAAGATTTTTCCCCTCGTGAGTGCTGTGATGAACACGGGGATTTGCATCATGCATAAATCTAAACCCACAGCTATTGCCCATAACAGATGGGAGTCCTGCGTGGACCACATTGTGTTGTTCGACTGTTGATTTTAAAACCACGTTTTTCTCACAGTCACTCCATCTACAAGGTTCTGGGGATGCCATTCCTGGGAGCCATCACGATGGAGAGAGGGCTGGCTGAAGAACATCTGCACAGCAAGAACATCTGCACAGTTTCTCCTCCCCAGGAGTTCTCTTTCCTGTCCCCTGGAGCTCAGTCTCTGTGTTGGCTTTCCTCCAAGATTCTTCAGGAAGAGCTTGTGTCAAGCCCTCCCAAGCTGGGACATCTTGTTTCCCTACATAAAAGGCATTTACTACATAGTTTTCCTTTTCAGAAGCCTGAAGAGCTGCCCTTGCCCGCTCTTCCCAGAGGGAAACATCTCCTTCTAAGTATGGGGGGCAGACTTCTTGAAGATTCACAACGTAATCCACACTCACATTTAATTCACAGGCTTTTTGCTTCCACATCTGCCAGCAGTGGAGCACTTCTTGTAAGACGTAACTCAACCCTTTTTCCCAAAGATTCAAGATGTTGTTTTTAATCTCATTTCCTATGAAGAGAGAAAATTTGGCTTAGCAAACAAATGAATCCAGACGTTTTAAGAAAATCAAGCAGGATGGGCTGGGAAGCTGTCCCTAGCTTCTATTCGCTCCTGAAGCAATTGGAATCACAGGCATTCAAATCTGTGAGTTGGGAATTAGAAATCAGGTGTTGCAGGGAAATCTAAAGAAATTGTGGGAAGAATTTGTGTATGAAAAAAGCTTACCTCCACATGGGATTAAATAATATCCCTTAGTTATTGCAGGCTGATCAGATCTGCAATCTCCTGAATGAGTGTATGGTGATGGCTAAATAAAAAGAGACAAATGGAATGATTTCAGGGCTCCAGGAGGATCAGAGCCCTCTCACAGAATTCAAGATTCTCTCAGGGCTAAGACCAAGACCTTCTCTGGGTCGCCCATATTTATTTGGTTATCAGAAGAAGGGAGGGGAATACTCAGGAAGGGCAGAACCACTCAAGGACTTCTCTAAGTAAGGTATGAAGTTAGTCCACTGAAGAATGAATTGCCTGAGGCTATAGTCTTTATCTAGTTGACATCTGATCCAGGTGTCCTTGGCTGTGATCTTGTCTTATCCTTTGAGGCTTTCTGGCTTCACCCACCACCACAGGATTTAGTAGGGATTAGTGACTCACAGAGGTTCATTTGCTATGAGTCCACCATTTCCAGATAAGGAGCCTAGGCTTTGGACAGATTCACAAGTGAACATGAAAAGCCAGCTGATTAATGCAAGTCCTGCTCAGGTCTGTTTCATAATGGTCTCTATCACCTCCATGCTATAAGAATGGCCAATACAGTCTTTAATCAATTTGCTATAAAGGGTAGGAGAAAAGCTTCCAGATGATTTACATAGAATATATTTATGTAGATCCAAATAATGTATGCCTATTTGTGAAATATATATATATATATATATATATATATATATATATATAATACACAATAGTGGGGTGTTATATATGGGACATGGTGCGAAATGCAAAGGATCATAATGACCTTCCAAGATACCACATAAGGTTATGGGCACAAGCAACAAATCTTGTCTTCTGATAATGTCCTTCTTTCACATCACTATCCCATGTAACACAACAATCTATAGAACTGTACATGGGAGCTAAATCAGCAGTGGGAATTAAAACAGGGATAATATCGTGAGATGCCCCCGGGATTGGAGGTGGGATATGCATGTACACTTTTCAGACAGACTTTAAGAAACATCCATTTTAGTTTTTCATGAGGTTCTCTGTCTTCATGAAGACATGAACTCCACTGAGATCCTGCAATCCATTTACTCAACGTTTCCCCTTTTAAGTTATTGCAGATTGCAGACAGCCATGACTATGAAAAAGAGGAATGGGAAAAGTAGTAATGCTGATGGCCTGGCACCCAGGAAAGGAAAACTGTATCACTGTAAATAGGGGGCAGAGGCAGAAGAGGGCAATCACATCCTTAGCACTCTGAAATGGGCTTCAGAATGAGGTGAATACCACGGCCAAGTCCATCTCAATCCTGCTTCTGGTTCAAGGCAGTTTCTGGGTGACTTTATTGGAAATGACTTTAGTTTGTAAAGTGGTATCAGGGAAAGGGAGACTGCTCTGCTCAGAACAAACTTAGAGTGGTGGTCTCTCAAATGTTCTGACTGTAAAAAGAAGCATTTACACTGCAACTCAGTACACACATCTCCAGATACAGAAAGACTTAAAAGATTCTTCTGTGTTCTATCTATGAGCTCTTCTTGCTTTGTAAAAACTGCCAGTGATGACACAGTACTGCAACAGAATTTCAGGGCTCACCATTGGGGTTATATCCTAAAGTTTGGGAAATAAATGCAGAGACATGCAGTTTTAAGCAAAGAAGCCCTGCATCTCTAACCTATAGACACATTGTACCTTCAGTTTCATGTGGTTATGAAAACACAGGGTCTAGGGCTGAACTGCGAGGGCTCAAATCCTAGTTCTTCTTACAAGCTGCATGTTCATGGGCCAGTTACTCAGCTACTCTGCATCTCAACTGTTTCATTTGTAAAAGGGGGATAAACAATAGCAGTTGTCTCACAAACTAAGCCACAGTGGCTCACACCTGCACCTGGGCCTCTAGAAATAAAAAATATGCTTATATATTTGTCAAAAAGTAAGTAAATAAATTAACGCTTAGGTTACATTTACAACATCCCAGGTACTATTACAGTATAAGCATGATCCAACCAAAGTGCTCCCCCCACTTTTTTTTTAACACTGATTTGTCCAAAACCTTGGATTTTCTCCAGAAACAACTAAGAGATCAGGCCCTTGGTGGTAATGTGAAGTTTATCAATCTCACACTGAAAAGCATGAGGGGTGGAAGAGGGCTGACTAAATCACTCAGATGCCACAGGCTAGGCACACAGGGTTTGAGAGAAGCCCCTCTCCAGCACTCCAGCAAGGGCCACATGCATCTCGAAAAGCTCATGAATTGTACGGTTTTCATCTCGGAGTTTTCTCTCCAGAGGCCAAAGTCTCTCTTTGGACTCCGGCTGGAATATTCTGCCTGCTGTGAAAATCATCATTTGAGGAAAGATGTCCAGTGGTTGGACGTTCAGCTACTCGCCCACCAAGATGAGGTGTCTGAGGTTCTCCAGCATCACATCTTGGTACAGGTTCAACTGGGCCTTGTCCTGTGGGAGACTGTAGCTGACGTCCACTGTATATTAGTAGCCGTCTTAAGCATTAAGTTTCTGTTATCCTGCCTACTTCTCCAAAGAGACGCACCTTTCCCTTTAAGTCAGGACTGCCCACCATTGCCTAGCTACTCCCGCCTCTAAACTAGGACTGCCCACCGTTGCCTAGCTACTCCCGCCCTTGTCGGGTTACTTGGTTACTCCCACCTTAAGAACTTCCGTATTTCCCTGCGCCCTATATATTCGCAACACTCCCTGCCAATAAAAGAGGCTTGATCAAAATCCTGTCTTGCCTCCATTCTGCGTGTCTCTTGTCCCTTTATAATCCCCACTCCCCTTCTAGGGTCCTCGTTGACTGTACCCGAGGGTCGGGTCATTGTCCAAAGGTGCCAGCTCTTCCTCTGTGAAGACCACAGCCACATCCTTGAAGGTCACGTGTTCCTAAAACACCAAGCACATGCCATGTCATCCCACACAGGTGATTGGCTCTGTCTGCTCAAGCTACCAAAACAAGACAGCACAGATTGGTTTAAGCGACAGAAATTTATTTCTCACACTTTTGAAGGTGGAGAAGTCCCAGAGGAAGGTGCTAGAAAGATAGGCTTAGTGAGACACGGCTGGGTGCACTTAACAGCACAACACTCTTCTGTTCATGTCAGCCCGACCATGCTCGAGCTTTTCTGACGACCTTCTCATATCCCCCACGCATGGGATCATGCTGCTGTGGTCAGACCACTAGTCTTGTAGCAACAACCACTACTACACTTCCCACACTGTATTATAATTTTTCTGGTTCCTTTTTACTTTCTGTGTGCTGCTTGTGTATGGGGACTGTGGTGTTCATATGCATGTGGCAAAGTTTAGCACGTAACAGGTGTCAAGTAAGCGAAGGAGAACGGAAGTCTGGACCTTTACCAAGCTCAAGTCCCAGATCAAAAAGGTTTAAGGTCCTCAGATCAAAAGGGCAAGGAAAATGGTCAAACGTGGATTTGACCCATTCACGAGAAAACACAGCAGCGCCGAGGTGTTCTTCTGAACTCACTCTGCCTGGGTTCAGAGTTTGATTTTGTCTCTCACCGGCTGTATTCAGAACCCAAGATAGTTCCCTCTCCCATCAGAACGGCCCTCCCGCCAGACCTGAGGGCGTAGAGTCGAAGCTGTCCACTACACCTAGAGGCGCAGGGCTGAAACAAATTCCTCCCTGCTCGGGTCGCACAGCCCAAGCCATTAATGCCAACACCGAAGCCACCTCCCCCTACTGCAGCCCTGATGCAGCGATGCGTGCCCAAGACGGACCCCAAACCCCAACTCGGGGTGCGCAACCTATCAGAAAGAGATATAGAGATGCTCTCTGCCTGAGTCAAACTTGGGCCACTCCCCCAAACGAGTCCACCTCATCCCAGAGAGGCCAGGCCAGGGAACTTCCCCAGCTCACCTAGTCCAAGAGGTCCTTTCATCAATCGTGAGTCCCTCCTTCCAACTCCTACTCCAGTGACAAACCCCGGCTCCCGTTGCATACTCTCCGGGTACCCCAGATGGGGAGCCGTCCCTGGGCAACTAACTCCCTTAAGCATCCAGGACTCAGCGCTGAGCGCACCTGGGGCCACTACACATGCGCAAGGAGCGTGAGGACTACAAACCCCAGAAACCCCTGTGCGGCAGCGGCACCTTCTCAGAGGCTGAGCGCCCTGGAGACGCTTGGACAGTGTACTGTCCTCTAAAAGAACAAGGACAATAACAATGGTGATAACAGTGAAATGTTAATAATAATTCAGATAAATCTTCAGGAAAGGAAAGATTCAGTATCTTACCACTGGGCATGAGAGCTTGTTACTATTTTGATCAAAATCTGTATAGATTCTTATTCTGTAGACATCCTTTAATTTTATAACCACACAACTTTTCAGTTAAAAATTCATAGTTTCTGTTGAAGCCGACCCTGGAAAAGCGACACTTCAGACCTGAAGTAACGTTTCCCAGTCCTCACAGAAGCAAAAAGAACTAGCGAACATTGTCTAGTCGTTCTTAACCCTTCAATGACTAGTGTCCATAACAACAGTACAAAATGAAATGTGTTCACTTCAAATTCTTGTTCCTTGAATTCTTTTAGGTAATTTGAATGAATTTCATGCAAACATTCAAAAAAATTTAATCTTCGACATAAGTGGATTAATAGAGGAATAGCAAGAGAACTGATGCTCTCTCAAAAGAGGAGTTCAACAGGGCAAAAGGGAGTTTTCAGATTCCTTTTCAGAAGCCCCCCCTGGTAGGGACTTTAAAAAAAAAACTTATTTTGTTTATCCATTCATTCATTCATTCATTTGCATTGTAGGCTATCTATTCAAGAAAGGCACTAGTGCCCTAATGGTGTAAGAAAGTGTAATTCGAGTTTCACTATAAGCCCGTAATTCTGGCCTAGAGGAAAGCATTAAAAACAGGGGAAAACAATCTGTCTCTCTGGCACGGTTGCTGGGTGCCACTGGCAGAGAGGTTTGGAATATCTGGCTGGCATTCTATTTGGCATCTCCATCTCCACCCACTGGCTTTGAGAGTCTGAGTCAGTTTGAGTCCTAGACTAGACAGATAATTAAAAATGCTCTAGGCAGTAGGCAGGAGCTGAATCATATCCAGTGATAGCCTGACATGGCTATTTAGGGCACAGAAAGGGACAGTGAAATTCTTATTCAATTTTGAATTCAAAATTCAATTCAATTCAATTTATTTTTTGATCTTTTAATGTCATGACATTTCAGTTTCATTGTGGTTGAGAAAACAATCTAGTAAGATCTACTGCAGAAATGGGAGCCATCCTTAATTTTGACAGATCCTAAAGCAGTAATTTTACCTGATGAGGGTAAGGGTGTCTCTAATGTGCCTCAGTAAATTTGTGATAAATATATATACCTCCCACATTTGGGTTATTCTGTTTTAGCCCTCTTTCTCTTTGACCTAGTCTTTTACTATTTCTCAATTGCTGTTGAGAAAATGGGCACATTGGGCTTTCCAGCGTGAGTCTTTGCATGGACTGTTCCCTCTGACGATGCATTATTTTTCCAAATTGCCACAGGACTTCCTTCTTTCCTTCTTTTATTCATTGCTCAAATGTCACACAGTAAGGTCTAAAATAACACACTCTCTCGTATTTAAAATAGCAACAGGCGCTAGCTTAACTATCTGACTTACCCTCATTTTACTCCCTCCACTACATATACTTATCACTATCTAAGCTACCATACCATTAATTTACATATTTTGTTTACTGCCTACCTCTTCACACTAGGATTTACACTCCACCAGGAGAAGAGCTTTTGTTGATTGTGTGGAGAAGAACTTTTGTTGATTGTGTTCATCGTTGTATTTATTTCTTGAGCAGCTCCTATATGCCTGTCACAGAGCACATAGAAGCACTTACAGTTCAGAGGACTTGTAGTTCAACTGTTCCTGCCCTTCTAAAAGTGATTTGCTTCATAAATATTGTCATTATTTCATTTTTGTAAAACTATTTTTAAAGGAGTAATTTTAATATTCATTGTTTTGTTTCTTGATACTGGGAATCAAACTCAGGACCTTGCCACCGAGCTATATCTCTGACCCCATTGGTTTTATTAAAGCAATCATCTGTTCCTAATGTTTCCCTCTGGTACATATCACCTTACACAAGGAAATGCATCTTGGGTACATTGTCACTACTTGCATTGTCATAGAAAAACCAATATCAAACCAAAGGGAAGACTCTTTGCACAAAGGAGTCACAAGGCAGCTTTTATTATACTAGCAGGCTGGTGGGAATCAGTTCCAAATCATCAGCAACCAAACCAGCTTAGAGTTCTGTTTAAATATAGTTTGCAAGCAGGAAGTACAAGGTTGATGGCAGGTTATTACATGACTGGTTACATGCATTGAGTCACATTGTTGCAGGAAGCTGAATTAGATACAAATATTATAGGCAGTCAGATGGGGTTAGGCCCTTAAAGGAGCCAGTATGGAAGACAAGATACCTTGCAACTGTGGGAGAGACAGGTGCTTTTGCTGTGGGCCAGACCTCAAGACAGAAGATGAAGCAAATGTACCCACATACCTCCCTAGCAATGGACTTCAGAGATTTACATTCTAAATAGGCAGCAATCACCTTGAAAAAGCCAAGAAGAGTCACTACCCCAACCCACTCCTGGAAAAGCTCTTGTTCTCTTGCTATGTGACTTGCTTCCCCATTTTATCCTGATTTAATCAATTTTACCTTAGCAATTATACTCATAATCTTACTGGTTCACCATAGTTTTGTTCCACCTCATACCCACCTTGTTAGTTCCAATGTTTCCCACCTTGGACCTGCCTCACCTCATGGTTTTGCTCTATAAAAATCCCTAGAGAAGGCAGGTTCCTTGGCAACCAACTCGGGTCCTCTTCTGTCCCTCTCTCTAGCAGAAGCTTTCTTTCCCTCAACAAATACATTCTGCTCTTAACCTCCTTTGTTCTTAAAATTCATTCTTTGATTTTTAGAGAACATGAACTCATCCCAGATATCTTTCAGTTTGGGAGTTTCTTTCCCCTGAATCAATATGTTGTCAAGCAAATAGATTTATTTAAAAGGAATTATTTATCATAAGGTAGGAACATGCTGGGGAGGAGGGAAAGAGGTGTGAGTGGAGCAAGTAGAGTTAAATGGGTCCTTGACTGGGCCAGTCTGTCCCAGGCATGAAGCCCTTGAAGCAGGTTGGAAACAATATATGTTTTTCTAACTAAGGAATAACACAAGCTGGACACAAGCAGGTTGTCCCATTATCAAAGAGAAGCAACTGGACGCACACAGTTAAGGCTGACTGAATTTACCAGGCTAGCTATGTAACAAGCAGCAAGAACATGGTCATAGGCCATTAACTGATTTTTAACTTTTGTGATAAAATATCTATAAGCTTGTTATTTTATAACCATGCCCTTACAGCATCATTTATAAAAGTTCCTCCAAACCTGGGCATCATGGCACACATCTTCAATCCCAGCACTGTGGGAGGCTAAGGCACAAAGATCAGAAGTTCAAGCCCAGTCTGGGCAACTTAGCAACTTTTGAGATCTTGTCTCAAAAATTAAAAATATAAAAAGGGCTGGGGATGTGGCTAAGTATGAAAGCTCTGGGTTCAATCACCAGCACAACAACAACAACAAAATCCTAGTCCTCCTAGTCTCTCATTAGAGCCACTGCCAAGCCTTTCCTCTGGAATATACCAGTTGTGACTGTGTCTAAGTGAGCAGGTTAAATAGGAAGCCACACAAGACTGTTAAGGCACCAAAACATAAAAATAGTAACTTGGACCCATCACCTGTCAGACTGTTATACTTAACATATAGTTCCAAGTGATTTTTAAAATCACTTGTCCATGTTTTGTATTATTCTTTTGTATTTTATATTTTAGGGCTCTGGTAACAAAATTTTGTGTAAACAGGGACTTGTAGGGTACTGGAGTCAAGTGAGAAATCCATCATAAAGCTTTCAATATCCATTCTTTTTACCTCTGGCTTGCCTTACACTGTGGGCCTGTTCCTACTGCAGGTGTGGGGAAACTCACTGGTCTCTCATTGTACCCTGGAGAGGAATGGTGGTGGGTATGAGGAAAATAAAGACAAGAGACAAGAGCTGGGTCAGGTGGAGGCGACCCCTTACCTGATCATCAAAAGAACCTAACTTTAACAGTAGGGGCATTTATGTATACTCTTGCAAAGTTAATATCAGGAGAGGTAATGTTGCCCAGCAACTAAGGACTGTAATGGCCCAGGCAGGATATTTTTTTAAGACTGAGGTAGTGTGACTGCTTGAGGCACTCTAGCTCTGTCCTGCCCTCACATGTATGACCAATTTCCAGCTCCAGCAGCTCCCAACAGCAGGGAGGGAAGTCCAGAGTCTCCTCACACACTGTTGGCATATCATTCTCTAAAAAGCATGATGGAACCATGAGAAGACAGGGACTGAGTAGTAGGAATGAAACTGGAGGGCTGGACCTGGTTGCCCACTTACCACCCAGCCAGGCAGTCCTCTACCAGGACCCTAGGGCCCCTGGTTTTCACCTCCATCCATGACCCAAGTCTCTTGGTCTTGTTCCACATGGGACATCTTACCTGATTGAAAGGTCACAGCACGAAAAAATGCAAAATATAAGGCTTACACATATTTTTGAAATGCCAACAATAGTTTAAAAATATAGCCTTAATACTGTGAATTCCTTGAGTTAGCTTGGATTGGCTTGGGTTGGCTTTGGTCTGGTTCTGGGCTTGATGTCAGGGCGGGAGGCACATAACTGACATCTCACAGTGAAAGACAGGGCCCCACAAACGTAAGAATGGTGCTCTGCAGAGAAAAATCCTTTCTTCTGCCATGCCTCCCTTGGTAGTCTGTCACTACCCCATTCAAAATGTTTGGAATGCATAAAGTGAAATACATGAGATTCTTTTAAAAGTTAATTATATTGAAACCTAACCTTGAAAAGTATTAAAGCACCAAACATGTATTTCTTTAGCACTTAAA